TCTGATAGAAATATAATCTATGAATTGAACATCTGATTTCTTGTTCTAGTAAGACCGGCCTGGTGTCTTCTAGTTGGGAGAGACAGTTTTACTTCACTCAAGGTGGAAACCTTATGAGTCAGGCAAGAGGTGATGTAGCTCGAGGGCTTATTATGTGCTTATTACTTAGACAAAAAAGATTTTTGTGCAACTATGGGGACTAGACCTTATTTTGTAACTGACAAAGTAGGTTGTTGCCTACAAAAGCTCATGCCTCTCTGAACCTTCTCTTGAACAGTAGAGCCACCCTGCTGTACTGTTTGCCTGACTTCAGACAAACATGGCTAACCATTTCCCAGATCTTCTTTAAGAGTTTGTTTTAAAATGCAAGCACAACTTTTTTTTCCCTGAATAGGTGGGTGGGGGGGAAAAGTGCGTTTCTTGTTATATTTATTATTTTGACTGGAGCATCTTGAAATAGAAGTATATTTAAATAGATTCAGAGAAAATGATTTTTTTTTATAATAATCTTTTTTGAATGACAGACTTTGCCTTGTTTTGTAATTTCTGCCTATTACATAAATAAATAAATAAAAATATTGCCACTGTTAATTTAGAAAATAACTTCAAACATCATAGGCTTGCAGCACTTTTATCTATGGAGCTATTTTGGACAACAGTACCCTTCTGCTAAACTACTGTATAAATTCAAAAATAATTCTTTCCTGCCTGATTAGTTTATTAGAAATAAAATTACTTACATCTTTAGTTGAATCTAATCTGCGCTTAGGATGTATGCATAGCACCTAGGAGCTGAACCTGTGACCCATTTACATCCATTAAACAAACATCGGACATGTGATGAAAATTCCTGCACTAGTGAAACTTACTAGAATCTAGTATAGAATTGCCCTGGGGTAAAAATAGCAGTAAAAATGTTACACCAGTGAATGGATTCTGTGTCCAACCTGAGTTGTTGCCAGTTTCTCAACACCAAGCAAATATTATATGCTCCCCATCACCTACTGAATAAGGTGGTGTAACAGCACTTACTGATGCACTACCCCAAGATACGTAGTCATCTCTCTATTTTAGCACCTAGTGTAATTCACATCAGTGTACAAAATCAATACAGATTACACCAGCATTGTGCTGGGTATTCCATAGTGTTACTAATAAAAAACTAAAATGTTGGTGTTAAGGAAAAAATGCACATCTAGACAGGAGAATCACTAAAAGCTGCTTTATTTTTAAACAAACATGACTGAAAATGTTCGTGTTTTGTTTTTTCAGGTCTTCAATCTTACAAGCAGAAAGTAAAAAAGACTATGAAGAGGTAAGCTTATAGCAAGCACTTGTGAAAAAATAATTGCATGAATGAAATATTTAAGGAAAAAGGCCATCATTACCACCTAGGAGGCCCAGGGTAAAAAGTGACTTTGTAATTTCTTGTATTCAAGCCTTCTACATAGGAAGGCACCACTGTCTCAAGCATGGGAAAAAATCTGTGCCAGCAAAAGTCATTGTCATTGAGGATC